AAGTGTCATTCCCCACATGACGGGGAAATTCTTTTGTATGGAGGGGGCAAAAGACATCCACTAAAAGAATTGAGAAAAAGGGTTTTTTTCCCAATAGTGATAGGAAGTAGTATCGATTTCGAAGGAGAAAAGATTGAGCTTGGGTGCATTCTGGCAGGCGATGCCGGTCCCGTATTGGGGGTGAAATGAAGCATCTCTGCCAACAGACGCAGGGCGCTTTCCCAATCTATGGTGAAAAGGTAGGCGAATTTGGTCTTAAGAAAAAAAAATTTGCCATTGTGTGGTCCGAAACAGGTGGAGGGGGAGGTTGAGTGTCGGTTTTTTCCCGAGTAGAGGGGAAGGTAACTAAGGAGCATATAGGAGATTGTTTTGGGTTTAGAGTGGACCGGAGTTGGTCGGCATAAAGGGGGGGGGGCGTTTCAAAAAAATTGGTACCGTAGAGGGGAAGCAAAGCATAGTCAAAGGAGGGGGGGGCAGTTCAGAAAATTGAAGGAGTCAGTCAAAAACCCCGGGGTACCTAAAAGCGGGGAGGAAAAAGGCACCAGAAAGGGTTTTAGAGGGGCATCGGAGTGTCAAAAGAGTGGCCTAAAACAAGGCAGGGTCAGAATGGGGTGCGGTATAAAGAAGGGGCCCGGGGGTGGGGTTTTTTCATGGACTAGGGCTGCCATGGTTAGGTTACTCTTTTTTCTTAAAAAAAAAAAAGAAAAAGAAAATAAAAAAAAAAAAAAAGGGGGGGAGCAGGGAGGAATAGTTCCCAGGAGGGAAGAAAGGGCCGGAAATCTCCCTCCGCACCCAAGAGGCCTAACACTGGAAGGGGCAGATGCAGCATGGAAACCCCGTGCCATCTCTACCCTTATGCCTAAACCAGCAACGGGATAGCAAACCTCACATCTGCCGAGCTACCCCGGTGGACAAAAGAGAGGGGGCCGGATATCCGCCCCAAAGGTACCTCCTTCGGCCACCACCCCCCCGGGTCCGAAAGGTGGCTTCCAGAGAATTTTGTCGCCCAAAAAAAACCCAAAGATCGGGATACCGGGAGGGGGTCGGGAATCCCCAGGCTCCAGTTCCCCGGGAAAAACTACGCCCGCCAAAAACCTCAACGGAATGGGTGGACCCCCGGTGTCCTTTTCCCCCACTAGGAAAAAAAAGCCGGCCGGGGGGAGAAACCCGAAGGCCAAAAAAAAAGGGGGGCAAAAAAAGGGGGGGGCGAGGAGGAGGTGGGAAAAAAAGGGGAATGGGGGGGGTTTTTTTGGTTCGGTTGAGGAAGAAAACCGTAGGGCTAATTCCCCAGACCCGAGCCTCTTCGCGACGTCAGGAGCCCCCCCCCCCCCCCCCCACTTTAAAGAGGTCAAAGGAAACAAGATTGGAAAAATTCCCCATGCTTTTCCCGCATTTGAATTATCTGACGCTTTGCGGTGCAAAAAGGGTTTTCGCCAAAATTAAAAGAGCTTTACCATTACACGGTAAAGATAACAGTTGGAGAAGTTGTTTAAGGGAAAAAATATAGTCCACTGATACTTTTTAAAAAGTTGCTTTAAAGGAAGTTGGAAAAAAATGAGCAGACATTAAATGGTGTGGGCCCAATGGGGGGGCGTTTAATTTGTACTGGGGGCGGCCCGACCCGGGTGTTGGGCGATCGGAAAAAACCATTCCCCCGATTGGGGTAGCCAGAGCATATTTAAAAGGCGTGCAAGGGTTAGACACTAGCGAAATGGGCAAGCCTCGCCCCGAACGGGTGATGAAGCATCACCAGCGAAGGTACGGGGTATGGGAAGTCTGGAGATTGATCCAATAACGAAAACTGGGCCAACCCAGCCACCCTTTCTGACGGGGAGGGGCGGTCGGAAATCGCAAAAGATACTTCTTAGGCTGCCACCCTTCCGAAAGACAGGGGGCCTCTGGGATTAGTATCACTGCAGGACACCTCGCCCACTTCTCAAAACTGGGAGGGGAAAAGGGGACTCCAGATAAACCAACCCCTTCCAAGTAACCACACCCGGGAAACCTCACGGAACAGGTGAACCCGGCCACTTGCCCCCCCCTTTTGAAACCGTTATGCTAGATGGGAAGCTTAGGTTATAAACTGAAGGGGGAAGACAAAAAAAAGGAGGGAGGATTGGGGGGGGTAATCAGGTTCGGTTGGGAAGGAGACCAAAGGGTCTAATTTGTTTTTGAAAAGGTCCCCCCCTTGAAGAGGGTTCAACCTATAACCCGTCTTAAGGAGAGCCACACCAAACTGGCCTTTGGTTTTAATTATTTTCTCCCGTGGCTACTGTTGTGTAAAAAGGGCTATGGTTCTATAGAAAATTTTGTAATCATTCAGTATATTAAACAAATCTAACATTATAAATTAAACACTAGAAACCCAGTGAATGTTGTATATGCTTCGTTGGCGGGGTGTTCGTAGATGCTACCCTGCTGCAATTGCAGGTAAACTCTGTCTTGTCTCCTTAGCTCCAGGAACACCGAGTTGGACCCGTGCTCCAAGGACGTTTGGGTTCCGTAGGCAGTTACTTGATAAACACCATTTTTCACTAGAGCCATTCTGTTTAAGTTGAATTAAAAAATAGGGTTAAAGGTAGTCATATACATGGGATTTTTTTTTTTTTTTTTTTTTTTAATTCAAATTTCAGGGGAAATATGAAGGAAAGTGTCATGAGCTCTTAATTAGCATTGAGATATCCGCCCCCTACCTTTTATATTAAGAAGGGATGCCGCTTACTATTTATTTTGACATATCAGATACCAAGAGCAATATTAAACAAAGAAAGATAGGAAGTTTAACACTCACGTGAAGTCTCCAATTCTGGCGCCGACTGCATGGAAAGAAAAGTAGTATCCGCCATTGTAAGGGGCCACAAATTCGTTGTTTGAGGGATCCCAACCTGCCCCTATGTTTGTTATGACATCCTGTGCAACAATGAAAATTAGCAAGGGTCAGTATAACGGCACAAATTCTTCTAAAACTGTCACAGAACAGTCTTACCCGAAAATGGACGTGAGCGAAGGCTGTGAGGCGTTCAGTAGCTTTTCTTACACTAAAGGCAACATTGTACCTAAGAATGAGAAGGTAAATTAGTTTTAGCCTCACTTCTGTAAAACTTAAAAAAAAAAGTTTCCCCCCCCCCCCAGACTCAAATGCTGGGGGGGTGGGGGTACGGGGGTGAAATAGAAAACTTCAATGTTTCAGAACTTCAAATCTGCCAGCAGAACAGAGAAGGTTTTTAAACTAATTTAAAAATATGCACGCAGACATGCGCGTGTGTAATATACATCGTGGAAGATGCGATTAGGGAAGAAAGATATTTAAGTACTGAAAAAAAATTTAACTGCCAGAAAATGCATTGGCGTCAGTGTTAACATGAGCGAGGACTGTTAGAACATTTCTGTAGAAACAGTTGTAGGAAAGAATGATATTTAGCAGGGAAAACTACTTCTGTGACAATTTAAATTAGAATCATGGTAAGGTTTAAGATTGTTACGTTAATACTTACATCATTCACTTCAATGAGAGCCCTTTGGCTAGAAGAATTCTTAATTACATTAGAAAGCAAGGACAGTAAAAGTATTTTTAAAACAGGGGACAAGTCGTTACCGTCAAATTACCGCCCAATAAGCCTGACCTCAATTGTAGGCAAATTACTAGAGTCAATTATAGCTGAGATTATAAGTAGCCATCTCGATAAGCATAGCTTGATAAATGATACTCAGCATGGATTCACAAGAGGCCGGTCTTGTCTAACTAATTTATTAACTTTCTTCAGTAAAGCTTTTGAGGCTGTTGACCACAATAAAGAATTTTATATTATTTACTTAGATTTTAGTAAGGCTTTTGATAGAGTTCTGCACCATTAGACTGTTAAAGAAAGTGGCAGCTCATGGCATTGGGGGAAAAGTGCTCTTTGTGGATGAGTATGGCTCACTGACAGGAAGAGAGAGTGTCCATAAAATGGGGTTAAATCCGGAGTGGGGATCTGTAACAAGTGGCGTTCCACAGGGATCAGTCTTGGGGCCCCGTTGTTTTATAATATATATCAATGATCTTGATGAGGGAATTAAGTGATATGAGCAAATTCGCCGATGAACAAAGATAGGTAGGTTTAATTGATTCAAAACGTAGATGTTAGGGAACTTCAGGAGGATTTAAACAAACTCTATTCTTGGTCAGAAAAGGGGCAGATGCAGTTCAATGTAGTTAAATGCAAGGTTTGAAGCTTGGGAGTGCCCATAACCTAGTACTTAAAAATTAAAATGATGTAGAACTTAGCCATACAGATGCGAAAAGGACTTGGGGGTTTTTGGTGAGCAGCAACCTTAAACCAAGACAGCAATGAGTAAGCGTACGTAATAAGGCAAATAGATTACTGGATTTATATCAAGAAGTGTAAGCAACAGAAGTCCAGAGGTCTACTGCAGTTTTTATACATCATTAGTAAGGCCTACCTGATTATGCAGCTCGTTCTGGTCTCGTATTACAAAATGGACATAAATTCGTTAGAAAACATTCAGCGTAGGATGGACTAAATTAATCTTTAGCATCAGAAATTTTCCTTATGAAGAAAGATTGAAGACTTTAAGTTACATTCACTTGTTAGACGAAGAATGAGGGGAGAACCTGATCGAAGTGTATAAGTGGAAGATAGGTATTAAATAAAGGGGATATTAATAAGGTCTTGGGATGTCTCCCCAAGAGAACGCGCAAGTAATGGATTTAAATTAGGAAAGTTTGATTTGAAAGGACATAGGAAGTATTGGTTTGGAAATAGGGTAGTTGATGAGGGGGAACAGTCTCCCTAGTTGGGTTATTGGGGCTGGGACTTTGGGTAGTTTCAAATCTAGGTTGGATAAGTACATGAGTGGGAGGGGTTGGATTTGAGTGGGACTTTCACATCAGAGCTTATTTCTTGGGTGGCATTGAAAATTGGGTTGGGCAAATGTTTTGTTAGTGGGATGAATTGTAAAGGACCTGCCTAGTATGGGCCAGCAGGCCTCCTGCAGTGTTCCTCCTTTCTTATGTTCTTATGAGTTGGAGTTCATATATTTTTTTTAAAAAAGTTATATTTGTGGCTAAGAAGCATGTGCACAATGAGACTTTTGAAGTAGCTATTCTATAGCTAATTAGCTGATTTGTCTAGAGCTACTCAGGCTAGTTTCAACGATTTATGACAAATTTTATTATAATCAAAAAGAAGCGCTAAGCCATAAGGGCTATACAGCGCTGATAAATTTTAATCAATTAACTTAGTATGGCAGTTTGGCGATAACATTACGTTTAGGGGCCTATAAACAGGTTAAGGATACATTTTATTAGTATAATACATAGCAAGCGCAGTAAAGATTTAAGTTACTAACCTAGCTATAGCTTTTAGCTTTAAACATGGGAATTATAGGTCAACAGGATTATGCAATATTCCTCCACTCTTTTGTAATAAATTCTTATGTACTAGTGAACCACTGCTCTCATGCTTTTTAGGATATTAATTATCACCAACCCTAATGTTTTAGAATTTTATTTCCAAGTAAAATTTAAATACTGGGGTATAAAACCACCTTGGCTTGCCTACATTAACGTTATCAAGGGAAAACACCCAGGATCATAATTTATACCATGCACATGTAAAGTTATTTTACTGTACTGGCGAATACAAGCTTTAGCTACTTAAGCCATGACACTAAAAAACAGAAAAATATTGTGGCAACCTACCATATCTATCATAGTATTCCAATGAATCAGTGGAAATAATCAAGTTACTGAAGCTAACAGGTTTAGAAATTGGTTGGACGAGTGTGAAGGGAGAATTTTATAATTTCATGCTTGGCGTGGGCGAGCCAGTCGTACTTTTTATATTTAATAATTTTCCTGAAGGTAGTTAGTATGCTAGTGCAATTTTTTTTTTTTTATATACCACGCAAAGTGTTCGAATACCCACGTTAAAAAGATTTAAAAGTGGAATTTAAAAATTTCCTCTCATCGTTGCTATTAACTTTTGCTTGGCGTGCTGTAATCTTTCAAGGAATACCTAAACATCGAATGCTTTAAGTAGTTACCCACATGCATCGTGTCATTCTCCTCATTCATAGCCAACTTTACATTAAAAATAAAGTAATGCATTAAACACGCAAAATAGCACAATGCTATTTAAAATAGCAGTAATTGTTTAGGGCGATCTAAATGTTAAATTAGACATTCGTTTGCTGCAATTTTATAGTTTAAGTTTTCAATAAATTTAAGCTTAAAAGTAAAATATTAATTAAGCATTGTCTGAATCAAATTTCATAGAACCTCCCAGGCCGGACGAGTCGCCTATACCTCACTTTAGTTACCTCGACATCCGAGGCGCCTCTTTTAGAGTAATACTTTAAAAGTTTAAAGAACAATTAGTGCCTACTAACCCCTCCCCCCCCATCGGGTACAAACACTGAAATTGTACTAGACAGTCGCGAATTTTGAAATTTATTTAGACAAACACTTAGTACTACGAGTACTAAGAATATTTTAAAGAAAAATTATGAAATTAATTTTAAACTTTAACTACAAACATTTAATAGTAAAGTTTACTGCCAATTAAGCACAAGAGTAAAGTTAAATTTGTCTTTAGTAGAAAAAGCTTGTAATATGCATTCATAATTCCCTTTTAAAGGAGGGGGGGAGGGAAAAAAAAAAATGCACCTTTCACAAGAGCAAGAAGAGCGAGCATTATGATTTACTTCACACAAGAGTGGGCGAGGAGTAGTTTTCCAATCTAATATGAAGTAAAATGATTTTAAGGGTTAACAAGACATTCTGAAATAGTTTTAGGGGAGAGAAGTACCTCCATGGGACTAATTTCCAGGGCAATATCTGTAGTCTAGAAACACTACTAAGAAAACTTTTAGCGTTGAGTAAATACTACTGTTGGCATCAACCTACAAGAACAACCTGTAAAATTGCTTACGAGGGCAACTGAAGAGAGGGAATGGGAAGTAGTGGGGGGAATAATTGCCTTTCCTCCACGTTAGTGTCGTTGTCTAACTGAACGTCTGCTTCAGTGTCGTTGAAATGAGGAAGATCAGTTTCGTTGAAATGAGGAAGATCAGTTTCGTTGAATGTAGTATCCCTTATTTCATCAGCATTAGCTGCCAGGACAGATAATGCCACTATTATCTTCGTGACCTGCATCTGTTCAGTTAAAGTTAATGAAAAAGATTAAAAGACTTGAAAACTATAGATTATTTTTAATTAACAAAACTATCAAGTTTCTCATAGTAGTCAAAAAGTCCCCATTCTTCTTCAAAACATGGAAAACTAATTGTATACGCTAAAGAATATAACAAACCGCAGAACTGAAAAAAGAAAGAACCATTCTCCCAGTAACACAACAAGGATTAAACTGATCAAAAGTTGTTAACCACCCCTGCTTATATGCTCGTAACAAAGAGGCAAGAGAAATGAGTATTGGCTGAGAGTTGCCAATACTTAATTACACGTTCAGAGTGACATCTGTTGAGTGAGTCAAATATTACGAACGACAGATTACAAAATTGATGTTCGGACGCAGATTGTATTTTTAATATGTGATCAACATTTTTATTTCAATCCATTTTGTTAGAATAAAAACTATTCTTTAAATTTTTATCAAGCAGGTTTTAAAACGCCAGTCTTTATGGCTAAAGTGCAGCTAATTAAATTTTGTAAAGGAAAATAAAGTCAGTATGAATATCCGTCATAACACTTTCAGGAAGGACGAAAATTTTCAGTATATAAGTTATCAATTTATTTAGCCTAAAAATTTACAATTTGAAGAGGGGGTTTCTCCGAGTGGAAGGTCGTGTTGGGAAGGGTGTGCAAGCATTATATTTAGGAGGTACGAAGGTGGTGGGTAGGATCAGAGATGAAAAAGTGTGAGGATGTGCTGCGAGCTTTATTGTATGTTAGAGATCCGTCTAGGATACGGGTGGGTGTTTTTGGAGCGTGCTGTAGGGGTTTAGGGTGATTGCGAATGTTGAGGGGCATATACCCCAAAGTATGCATGGGGAGACATTTGGGTAAGGTTGCGGGTTGATGGCATCAGACCAAAGAGTGAGAGAGGTAATGTTTCGTTTCCTTCATGGAATATTGCCGTCTGGTGTGGTGCTTCGGGGGAGAGAGGGTTGATGGTGGAGACGTATTTTAGGGCGTGTGGGGATAGGGAGACAGATTTTCATGTAGTATATTTTTGTACAAATTTGGAGTGTATAGGGAGTGGATGGGTGGGATTTTGAGGAGGGTGGGTGGGGGAGGGATATCGGTATTTTTTTTTTTTTATTGAAAACGCAATACACAATTATACATGTAGACAATGTAAGCAATGAAACGTATCCATTATATATAACAAAAAAAAACTCCACATTCCCCTACCTTAGCACTAAACTTATACATAGAAACTAAACAAAAGACAGCCCACAGCTTCAAATTACAGGTGGGTTTTTTTGACATCAAAATTGCAGCCATAAACACAACATGCAATATAACCCAAGAATGTTTACAGGCATTTACATTTCACATAAAAATTTTATATACGAAGACATTTTCAATTACCAAAAATTTTTTACACACTTATTTTGTTGTATATTAAACTTCTTTTCAAATACATAATACATAACACCTCAATAAATTACGAATCAAATAAGGTTAGAAATAACAATCTCCACCCCTCAAACCCCAGAAAAAAAAAACAGTATAATATAACAAATGATTCGTCCCACTCATTATACAACTACATTCATCTACAAGCGAAAAATACCACCCACATCATCCACAAGCGAACTTACACAATCACGTATATTTTAGTAATATTTTTCAAATTAATTTCCATTTTTAAGTAACAAACTTCTTCTACCATATAATAAAAATTACTTTGTCATTATATTAAACATTAACTTAAACAAGTACTATATTTTATTCTACAGACCAAACATTTCTTGCTCACCATCTAACCCTATTAACATTGTACATGAACACGTCCTTATATACCCCTCACTCGTCAATAATATTCATTGGGCTTCACCGAATACTAATATACAACCCATACTGAGTACATGAAATTCTCTCTTACATACTGCTATATACCTTAATGTATGATAAAAATCACACACTTGCATTATTCATTATGAGCAGTAATTTTGGTTTCACAGACATATTTATCACGCCGCATGTCCTTTGCTTTTTAAAACAAACACCAATCCTGATAATACATTACAACATATTCCAAATTTAACTTTCATAAAATACATTTGTATCCATCCTGAGTATGACCGTATATATTCACATTCACACAATATTGTCATTTCCCTGTCCATAAAATCTTAACAACTTTTCCCTTACAAACCACCACAAACTTACTTAAAACACACTCCACAATACGCTACCATTTCACCCATATCAAGGAACTCCTCAAAATTCCCAAATTCTGAAAACGACCCCGGTGAACCCTAAAATTTTTAACACATCCCCCCCCACTCCGCCAAAAACCTCGGGGACTTTTCAACTTCAGTTTTCTTCGGGAAAAAAACCCTTTCCCATCTACTTCCAAAACCCCCCTTTATTACGTAAGTGTTTTTTTAATTGTTGACCCAATCCCTTCTTTCGCACCACCCCAATCCCCATTACCCCTCAGGGGCCCCAGGGTTTACGAAAACAAAACCCATTTAAATGATTTTAGACCAAACACGCTGCACAGACTTTCCCACCCCCACATCTAAACCAATCCCCTTAAATACGATACCCCTCCCCCCCCAACCCCCCCCAAAATCCCCCCCCACCCAAACCCCCGGGTATCACCCCAAAAATTTGTAAAAAAAATTTACTAATGAAAAGTTTTGTCTTTTTTCCCCACCCCCCTTAATACGCCCTCTCCCAAACCCCTTCCCGAAGCCCAAACACCAGACGGAAAATTTTCCCATGAAGGAAACGAAACTTTAAACCTCTCTCACTTTTGGGTTTTTTTTGCGCCCCAACCGAACCTTTCCAATTTGCCCCTCCCATGATACTTTGGGAATATCCCCCTTAAACTGGGGCAATCACCCTCCCCCCCCCCTACGCACGCCCCAGAACACCCTACCGTATCCTGGGAGGATCTTTTAACATACATTTAAAAGGCTCGCAGCCATCCTAAATCTTTCATCTTGATCCTACCCACCCCCTTCGTGCCCCCTAAATATAATGCTTGCACACTTTCCCCACACTTTGCCCCACTCGGAAAAAAAACCCCCTCTTTCAAATATATACATTTAAACCCCTTTTAATTTATATCTTTTAAAACCCCAAATCCCCCCTTTGTGGGCCCGGTTTTAAAACAAAAAAAACTTCTCCCCAAACCAGTACACCCAAAACCCCAATATCCGTGGTCCCCCGCTTTCTTTAGCCCCCGGCAATCGTAAAAATTCCCCAAATATAGGGGTTTATTTTGAAATTAAACATGGACCGCTTTAATGGGTTTGGGACTCGCAAAGGTGTGGGTTCGCCCGGACGGGTACCCACGGCGGGGAGCCGGGCGGCACCAGTCTGGCATTGTTTCCCAGTGAGCGAAGGTCCCCTCCTTTCCCCCGCGAATTATTTCATAATTTTCCCCATTTTTTTTAGGCTTGAAAGGGTTCCAAAATAAGGCCATGGTAAAAAAGAAAGCCCCTTTTGCCAACCTGTGGTAAAGGTGAAAAAAATACGATTAAATTTTTAAAAAGAAAACCTTTTTGAACAATATGAAAGTGGTTTAAAGTGTGGCCGAACTGTCCCGGGAATTGTATAAAAAACCCCTTTCAAAATTTAAATTTTCATAGTGGCAAAGAAAAAATGAAAAAAAAAAGGAAATGGGGTTGTTGAAAAGGGGGTTAAACTATTCTGACAAAAAATGGGGGGGGGGGGGATCCCCAGTACTGGAAGAGGTTGAAAAGGGTTTTTAAATTGGTGTGGTTAAAATGAGAAAAAAACAATTAGCGGGAAAGATCTCTTATGACTTCGTTTTTTTTGTTAAAAAGGTTAAGGCATTTTTCCCAATGAAGTTTTGGGTTTTAAAAGTTTGCCTGAAAAAGGGGGGAAAAAAACCCCCCCCCAAAAAATGGGTTTTAAGGGATGGGAAGCGAATTTAAAGGCCAGCAAAAGGGGTTTTTGAGAGTTTAAAAAACCGTACGGGCATCCCACAGTGTGGAAAGGCAGGGTTTGAGGGTTTCCCGGGTTCGGCCCACAAGGCGGCTAAAAATATGTGCATGAATTCCAGGGTACTTAGAGGTTGAAGGACTAAACCCCCGGGAAAAGTTTTCAATTGTTGAGAAACGGGCCCTTTTATTTTGGAAAAAAAAAGAAAAAGAAAAAGTGGGGACCTTCATTCCCACAAGGGGGAAAAAAGGCAATCCCGGGAAACACAAGCCTTGAAAGACGGCTAAACGTTGTGGGGTTTTTTAAAAGGGGGAAAGCCTTTTTACTAGTGTACCTTTTAAAAATCCCAAAAGTTGGGGGCAGGAAAAAAAAAAAAAAAAAAAAAAAAAAAATTGGTTTGAAGAGAAAAATTGTGTGTTTTTTGGAAAAATTAATAGAAAGGCATGGGTCACGGGGGGAAAATTTTTTTTTCCCAGGGGCCCTAATAAGGGTTTTTTTGGGCCCTAGTGTAAAAGGAGTATTCCTGGAAAAAAAAATTGGATCTAAAGTGCCTGTTGTAATGGAAAATTGCCCCTGTTTCATCCTAAAACTTGGACGCCCTTTTTTTTTCCGGGGGAGGTTTGGGGTTTCATCACAGTAAATTTTCTTGCCTCCGAATACCTTTTTCCCCCAAAACCCCATGGACCAGAGGTTATTGCAAATTTAAAAAAAACTCTAAAAAAAAAAGAAATTTTTCACGGGTGCTTGACTGGGGCCCAAACGGGAACACCCCATTGACCCAAAGGGAAAATTTTTGGAGGGGAACTTTTTCAGAAACCCTTTCCAACGGGAATTTTAGGTAGGTTTGGGGAGAGAGTGACTACCGGACTTTAAAATCCCTGGAAAAAAAATTGGGGGCCAGATTGTGTCGACAAGGGGGTTTTTAAAAGTTTGGGGGGCTGCCCTAATGACCCTTTTGGGCTTTTTTGAAAAATCATTGTGGCACGGGGGGGTTCCCATGGGGTTGGGTGTGAGTTTGGAGGTGTGGAAAAAAATTTGGGTTTGGAAAAAACCAAAAGGGAAGGGAGCCCCACCACTGAGGGGGCTGAAAAGGGAGCTTCAGGGGGAAAAAGGGGAAAAAAAAATCGCAGCTAAAGAATCTTGCTGCAGAGGGAGGGGGGAAAAGGGGGAAAAATGGAAAAAGGGTTTGCCCCCCTTCTTCAAAAATTTAAAGGGGTTTTTTACTATGTGGGGAAAGATTGAAAGCTTTATGGAAAAAAACATCCCCCCAAACCCAAAGGTTTGGGTTGCAAGCCAGGTTTTGGAAAAATGTACAGTGAAA